GCGAAGGAGGGAGGGCATGAATAAAGGCAAAAGACTGGGTCAGTTGTTTTGGGAATGTCTTTTCTAGGAGCATTTATTTTGGTGGAGTACCTATGGGAACTAATGGAATAATGCTGGAATGTCGGTTTGTGCCAAATGAGAGGGGTCTTGGATTTTTCTCCTTGAACGGGAGTCCCCAACCCGCCTGGTACCAGGGCCTGGCATGGAAAAGGACTTGGGGAGGGTGCTAAGGGTGGTGGTAGTGGTCCCAAGATGACCCAAGCACACTACGTCCACCATGCACCCCATTTCCACCACTACTACATTACAGTATATGATGAAAGAATCACACTATAATGGGGTTGGTGCGGCCATGAGAATCCAGTACATCCCTGATCTGACAGGAGGCAGTGTGAGCAATGGGAAGAGGCTGCAAACACAGACAAAGCCTCACTCACTTGCCTGCTGTGCACTCCCCACTGCACACCCAGTGGACCAGTCCTGGTTAGGGACCCCTGCCTTAAAGGACAGTGTGAGACTTTAAAGACTCTGCATGGCATGGCATGGTCAGAGCTTCATGAGTGGGGTTTACTTTGCAGAGTGGTGAGGGCATTTTGCAAGAGAAGAGTGTGGGTTGAAGCTCCAGGTGGGAGGCTGCTGCAAAAATCTAGTCAAGAATCAATGAGGGACCAGTAGTTAGTATGATGGCTATGTCACTGGACTCCCATGTAGTTGACCACGGTTCGAGTCCCAGACACAGTGGCTTAGACTCACGCCGGGTGCATGTGCATGTGTGGCCAAGATCCGAAGAGGAGAATGGAAGAGAAGGGATTGCAGCATGGCCATCCTCCCGGGAGGGTGTGTGTGTGTGTGTGATTTCTCACTTTCTGTCTTGCTGTCTCTCTCTGTCTGTCTGGCAAGTACACGCACCCTATAGCAAAAACCTCTCCAAAAAAAAAAAGTCAATGAGAACCTTAGAGTAGGGAGAGGTAGAATGGGAAAGACAGGACAGATGTGAAGGGCATGAAGAGGCGGGATGGCAATGGAGATGAAGAGAAGCCTGCAAAAAGACTGGGAGGTTCAAGCCTGGGTCTTATGGGGAGTAGTGGTTCTGTGAGAAAAATTACAACACTTGTTTCCAAAGAAAAGCAAATATTTAATTGTCTCCATAGACTTAGTGGAATATTTTGGCCAGGACCACCAAAGCCTTAGGGGCTTCCCTCTGGTCTCTGAAGTGGCCTGGATGGTTCCTATTGCTGTGTCTCAAGTGCTAACACTGCCTTTCAGTTTTTTAAGAGGGTGGCAGTGGAGAGATTGTGCATTCGTACAAGATGTCAGAACTGAATCGCTTCAATAAACTCATGGGAATCTCACAATTCCAATCAAGCAAGTGTTCTGCTTGAGTCCCTCTGCTTTCCAGGATGGATGTTGAAGGGAGAATGTAATTTTGGTTTGTGGGTCACTGACTAATATATGAAAGGGGAATCCCATGGGGGGGAACTCTGTTTTCCCAAATACTGCTCTATAGTTGTTATAAAGAAAAAGAAAACTTATGTTGCTCATTGAAGGGCGGTTGGGGAAAGTGGTTCAGAAATGCAGCTGCCACTTAAAGGCCATTGAGTAACGCTCACTTTCTTTTCTCCCATCCAAATTTCTTGGACAGTGTTTGTCAGGTTCAACTCCAGCCATGGCTTCCCAGTGGAGGTCGATTCTGACACCAGCATCTTCCAGCTCAAGGAGGCAGTTGCTAAGCGACAGGGGGTTCCAGCTGACCAGTTGCGTGTGATTTTCGCTGGGAAGGAGCTGAGGAACGACCTGACAGTGCAGGTGAGTCTCCTTGGTGGAGGTTCCTGAGATGCCGCCAGTCCCGGCTCAGCCCGCTTACGCCGCCAATCTGACATTCATGCCTGAGATCTAATAGAATAAATAGTGCCTGGGGATTCCTTGAACTTTACTCCACACCGCTTCATTAATTCTGACCTTCTTAATTATGCATTAAAACAGCAAGCAGGAAGGATGGGGAGAACAACTGTGAGTGAGAGAGAGAGCGCACACGAGCTGGGCTCAGTGAATAAATGTTTACTGACTACAGGAGCAGCAAGGCACAATGTCTGTGTCTGTTCAATTTCTACCTTGCTTATTCCATTTGAATCTTAATGAAGAAGGATTCAAATAAATTGTTCCAAATCAGGCTGCTCAGTCACTGCGCTCTGAGGAATCTGTAACCCAATTGTGACCCCTGGAGGATGGTCAGGGCTGCTGCCATTCTGTTCAGGAGGAGGCCCCTGCTCAGGTCCCTTCCAACCAGCTCTGGGAATTCCCTGTGGAGGTCCAGAATTGCTCCGTCCCAAGGCTGGTGGAGGAAGGCAGGAACTCAGCAAAAGTATTTAATTTCTTGAAGGCTCAGTAAAATTCTTCCACCAACAGGCCTGCAGCATCATGCAGTGTGCGTGGTGTGTCTCTTCTCTCCTGGCTGGCTGTCACCGCGTGCACCCTTCTGTGCCTGGGCACCTCTCTCCTCAGGTGCCAGGACACCCTCTGCACTGTCCAATCCCTGTGTGCCCCTTAGAGCAGTGGCTTTTGTAGGAGTCAGGGAACTGGTTAGGCGATTGATGTGCAGTGCCATCGCCTAGATGCCAGGCCAGTGGTCAGCAGGGAAGCCGGCAAGTGAGTCCAACTCCTATGAGCCTGTCTTTTGTGAAAGCAGGCAGGGACTGAGGGCTTGCGGCCCATGGTTCAGGTGACCACTTATGAGGCTGCAGACTGGTTTCCACCTTTCTGAACCAGCACCTATTCCTTGCACTCCGGTTTACAGGTGCCTGGGGACGGCTGCTGTGTACAGGCCTCCACGTCCTATTCCTGCCTCTTCTGAGGGATGATATTTGCTACTCAGTGAACTGCTTTCTGAATTCCGGTATACAAAGAAGCCATAGAAATGCAAATCGCTCCTGTCATTCTCCTGGGGACTCCTGCCAATGGTGGGAGGCACTTTCTCATTGTGCACAAAGTGCTGCGCTTTGCTCTCCAGCAATTTGTTTTTATAAGGGAAGTGTGTGCCTTAAAAAGTGTTTTGATTTTTTTTTTTAATTTCAGTCAACTAAAAAGCTTTTCACTGTACCTGCCAACCTCTAACTCCAAGAATGTTCCCTTCACAACGAAATGATTTTAAACAGCTCTTTGAATCAAAATATTTTATATTACCAGAACTTTCAGGTTCTTGAGCTGCTCACCTCTACCAGTTGGGCTGATTGGAGAAACAACTGACTAGTTCATATTCAGTTAGACTAATTGCTACAGGCAATTATTGTACAAATACATATGCCTAAGACATTTATTGATTTAAGAGTCTTTGTTTTGACAAACACTTAAACATTTTCTATGTCTCCGGTTTCTCAGGGGATCCAAAGAATGGCAAAATTCAGCCCTACCATTGTTAAGACCACTCTTTACTTTGGGGTTCTAAACCTAAAAGAATTATTAGGTTGAGTCACATGAGATTACTATTGAGTCATGAGGAAAGCCTCGATGGATTTTTTTCTATGCCAAAATATGTTACTACTTTTCTGATGACCCACTATTTACATAGGATAAAATTACCAGCAATTTTATGTGATTCAATTTAATATCTATAATAACATGAATGTCAAGCAGAGCTATCACAGTACAACCAAAAAATAGGTCGTATGAAGGTAGAAAAAATACATCTGGTCGGAAATCACCAGGCGAGATTCACAGATGAATTGAATCCAGGTTCCACAGGCGAGGACAGGAGAACAGTGTGTGCTGGGAAAAAAGAATGAGCTCCTATTCTCCTGACCTTAGAGGGGGTGTTGAAGATGGGGCAGGAGGTGGAGTTTGGGGCTGTATTCATAGAACCTGGTCTGACTTGCACTGAGGTTTCACCTGTGGAGAACTAGAGAGAATGGATGGCGTAGGGAGAAATGGGGAGTTTGCAGGTTCCCGCTCACTGTGGAAAGGATGAGATGTCTCACTCACAGTGAGGGCTGATGGCAGGAGTGTGTGTGTGCAGAGGTCTAGTGGCCCTTGAGGTCTTTGGCCGAGAGCTTCTGGGCCCGCTTTATAGACAGCGAGGCACATATTTGTTATTAAAAAAAAAGATGCAGTCACCAAAGGGCAGAGGGCAGCGTGAACTGAGGGCAGAGGCTCAGACTGGCAGTCACCTAGGCAGCTGGGAGAAGCCAGAGCACAGGAGGCCCCGTGCTCCCAGTGGGTAATCAAAACTCCTCTAAATCCTTCTTTGTTTAACTTTACTCATTTATTCCCTGATGGAGGTGGGGGAACACACCCAGAAGGGTCTTCATGCCATGATTCCCCCCAGCTGCAGCCAGCTAGGATCCTGGGCGCATGCACGCAGCCCTGGCTTACACAGGATGTGACCCTGGGGCCTTCATGTGTGGGTGTGGCGTCGCAGAGCGTTGTCACCACTGCCCACCTGCTGGTCCCAATCCTCTAAATTCTGAAGATAAAGCTGAATAAGAAACTGTTCAGAGCCAGCCCTTTGGTGTAACAGTAATGTGCTGCTCAAGAGAAGCTGGGTCCCACATGGCAACTGTGGTTCAGGTCCCCAGCTCAGTCTGCCGGAAAATGCTGTGCGCACAGGTGTAAGTGTCTAAGATCTAATGGTCCAGAGGCCTGGTGGATGGGATCATAGCATGACCAGACCCTGGAGAGGGTGCTCTTCCTCCTCTCACTCTGTCTCTCATTCTCACAAGTGTGCTCAAATACTCAGTCGTGAATAAAGGGGGAAGAAAAGGCTTAATAAGAGAAAAAAAATATGGCCTTACAGGTAACAAAGGAGTTGATAAAGGTGTAGAGCCATGGCGCTTTGGATAAAGCAGGCGGGGTCAGAAAGGAAGCACGGGAAAGAAGTGTCTGTGCTGTGACCAGTTGGAGGAGGAGGAAGAGAAGAGCCTTTGGAAGTGGGGACTGTGGTGACCAGGGTTCTCCAGGACTCCAGTCCAGGATAACGAAAGCTGGATGGCAGGGCTTAGCAGGGAGTGGTAGAGTGTGAGGCTCGCAGCGTGTGATGTGCCCAGCACCGCCGGCTGTCACTCAGGAGGTGGGGTGCCACGCCATGTTATACCGCATCTCTACCCCTGACTACGCTGGGCTTCCTCCCACAGGTGTGCTCAGTGTGAAAATGCAGCGTTGGAGTCTGATTATCGGACTGGACGTTGCATCTTGAACATTTTTCATGCTATATAATCTTCATTTCCAAGTGTGTGAATGATATTCTGTAGAGTATAACATAATTAACTCTTAATTAGTTGTCTGTGTTTCATTTTTAATATTAAAAATTAAGGCAAAATAATTTCAAAATGTGTACATGGAGTTAAATACTTATAGAATTTGGCTTCTCTGTATCTCAGTTTGCTTATTTCTAAAATGGAAATAATAATAGCACCTAACTTCTTTGAATTCTGTGAGAAATAAATTAGTTTATTTATATAAAGTTCTTAAAGCAGAGTAAAATATATAGTAAAAACTGTATAAAAGTTATCAGTTATTGGCTCCACCACTGTGAGGCAGTTCTTCCAGGGTCTGTGGAATTGACTCAGGTCACGTGTGACTCCTTTCCTCCACGAGTTACGATGAGAACGTCTGCTGTAAGTGCGAGTTAAGGGCAGTGAACGGGGATAAGTACCTTCCTGGACTGGACTGCCTGTGTGTGCAATATTTATACATCTTAACTAAAATGATTCTGTGGAGGTTATGAATAATTTTTTGACCCTTATATGTGCAAATTTTAGTTATCTTAAGGAAAGTAGGCTTTGGAGTCAGCAGGTGGCATGGAGGTCAAGGTGGGTGGATGGATTTCATATGGCTGACTCTGTGGTTCAAATTCCAGATCAGGTGGCTTAGAAATCATGCCAGGTGTTTGTACATGGATGTCCAACATCCCAAGGGGAGAATGGAAGAGATGGGAAAGTGAGAAATGTACAAGAAGGAAAGTGAGAAATCTCTTTCTCTCTCCATCTCTCTCCAGAGAGTGCACACACTCTACAGCAGAGACAGAACAAAATGGGATTTGAATTTAACAAGCTTGAGAAGACTGTAATTCTCCTAAACAAACTTGCTAGAAGTAGAACATTATATTTGTCATGTTCAGGAAAGACTCATCATGATATTATTTCTTTTAAAAATTCATTGTTATAAAGCAGAAATCTGCCATGCTCTGTATTTGTTACAAGCAATTGGAAAGTTATGCATTTTTTCCCTACTTCGTAGACAATGCTTTTGTGCAGGATCTTTCTCGTAGCCTTATGTCTGCAAGTACACATTTTATAGTATCAATCTTTGAGATATTCTTTACAATCAATATTTCCTCTTCGTACACAGGGAGTTTTTGCTTTATAGAAAGATTCATTGATGTGTTCATAAATTTGTTTAACCAAATGTCCGGCTTTATGATGTTTAAAATCTATGTCCACATTCAGAGACCGTCGTTTTATGAAATAGGCCATTCTTGCCGTAATAATAAAGGATATCAGTTTATTGTCTCCATTCTTCTAAGCTTTACGATATGACAAGATCTGAATTTAGAAAATCAGCAGCATTTAGACTTTGATAGCTTAGTTTAAGTTATAGATATTAAATAGTTAAGGCTCTGGGACCAGCAGTTAGCGTCACGGCTATATCGCTGGACTCCCATGTAGTCTACTGCGGTTTGCGTCCTGGACCCGGTGGCTTAAAACTCACGCCGGGACCATGTGCGTGCGTCCCCAAGATCCCTAGAGGAGAACGGAGGAGAAGGGATTGCGGCATGGCCACCCCCCCTGGGGGTGATTTCTCGCTTTCTGTCTCTG